CTAAATTGCCAGAGTCCGGAGCCTGGATGTCAGGCTCTGCCTGGGAAAAGAACATACGCTTCGAGTGTCCACTGTGCTCTCTGCTTTGCAGTTTCGTTTCATTTCTTCTTTTTGATGGGGTGGAGTTGTTTTGTGTTTTTTAGGTACTGAGAAATGAAAAACCAAGGGTCCCTGGTATGCATCAACGGGCGCTGGATCACTGAGCTGTGTTTCTAGCAGAGAACTTTCCTCTTGTGGTTTCTTTAGCCTCTGCCAGATGCTACGAGTATTGGGAAGTGTTGGGGAATCTCTCTGCTGCCAAGAGTTAAAGTTGAGTTTGGCTTTCTTCTGTCTCAGTAGGTTTCAGGGGTGTAATCCTTTATATTTTCTGTTGTTTTGTATATATGTGTGTAAAGTGTATGCCTGTATATAGTATGTGTGTGTGTGTAGACTGTATGTTTGTATACTGCATTTGTAGGTGTGTGTGTAGACTGTATGTATACAATATATGTAGGGGTGTGTGTATGTTTTGTGGAGTGTGTGTGTGTGTGTGTGTGTGTGTAGAGTGTGTGTATGTACACAGTATGTGTAGGTTTGTGTGGACACATAAAGAAGCCAGAGGTTGACCTCAAGAGTCTTCTACTATCTTTTCTTCGCTTTACTGTCTGAGAGACAAGTTCTCTCACTGAACCAAGCATTCACTGATTGGCTGGACTGGCTGGCCAGCAGGCTCCACCCCAGAACTGGGGTTACAGACATGGATGACCATGGGTTTTGGGGCTACATTGAGATCCTCACACTTGCACACCAGGTATTTTGCTCAATAAACCATCTCCTCAGCCTCCAGGTTTTGTTGGTTACTGTTCTAGAGAACAAATAGGTTTCTGTGAGCTAGAAACATTTATGTAGATAAGTGAAACTGTTCTAAGCAATTATTTACTTTTCACTATACTTAAATACCACAAAAATACAAGTTTCTGTGTCAGTATGTTCCAAGTAATGGAATTTTAAAAAATGAAATGCTTAGTGTTGTTATCCATGTATATTATCATTGAAGCAACTTTATTTAAACTAAAAGGTAATACATTTTACTTAAAGTTCTATCTAGACACTCTTTTTGAACATGCATGCCCAATGTTCATATACACAGTTGCAGTGTTACACATGTATGGACATAGCCTGCATCACCTGTATGTTTTCCCTGTGGTATCTTAGTAATTCCAGCTGCTCAGAAGGCTGAAGCAGGAGAACCAAAGGTTCAGGGCCCATGTAAGCTACAGTGGGTTTGAGGCCAGCCTTGGCAATTTACTGAGTTCCTGTCTCAGAATTTAAAAGTATAAAATTTTAAGTGGGGATACAGCCAGATGTAAAGCTCCTGCTTAGCGTGTGCAGGGGGCCCTGGGCTTTGTCCCCAGGATGGCTAATGATAAATGACTGACAACTCAATTACTCTTTTAGTATCTTTAGTGGAGTATATGTGCATAGTTCCTTTGGTCATTGCTACATTGCAGGCAATTGAGTTCTCAGTTTTCTGACACAGTTTGGGTGTCTGTTGGTACACCTTGAACATATTGTCAGTTTTCATTTTAGAAGTAAAATATCTGAGACAGCCAGTAATGCTTGACTCTTTAAAACTGCATTATCAGGGTGCTTTAAACATTTAAAACTTTACTTTGAACTGAGCATGGTAGTATATTCCTTGTAATCCCAACACTAGGGAGCTTGAGGCAGGAGGATCACAGGATGGATGGATAGATAGATAGGTAGGTAGGTAGATAGATAGATTGATTGATTGATTGATTGATTGATTTAAGTAGCCCAGGCTGATCTCGAACTCACTGTGTAGTGAGGCATGTCTTTAAGTCATACACACATACGCAATTATAAATAAAAACTGATTTTTAAGCAATCTAGGTGTTTGGAAGAGTAGTGGTCACATGTTTGATCTCAGTCATGGTACTAGATAGGCCATGAGAACACTAGATTTCCTTCTGGGAATTAAGCTGTTGAAACAAAATTGTTTCAGAAGCTTCCTGGCTATGCTTTAATGCTTTGATAACATCTGGTACAGTTATGAATCTACAGCAATTTTTTTTTTGAGACTGAGTCTCTTTGTAGTTGGGACATAGATCTGTAGACCAGGCTGGTTTCTAACTCAGAAATCCGCCTACCTCTGGCTCCTAAGTGCTGGTATTAAAGGAGTGTACCACCACACCTGGCCTATAGCAAATTCTTAAGCCATACCTGTCTACGGTGTTAACTAGCAGGTCATTTTAAATTGCTGTCTGTTGCTGTAAAAAAAACAAAAAACAACAACAACAAAACGAAACCTAGCTGTGGTGGCTTTAATCCCAGCACTCTTGGGAGTCAGAGGCAGGTGGATCTCTGAGAGCTCAAGGCCAGCCTAGTCTACAGAGCAAGATCCCAGACAGCCAGGACTAAGCAGAGAAACCCTGTCCTAAAAGAAAAAGAAGGGGGGTTGGGGGAGACACCAACCAGAACCAACTTTGGGTAAGAAAAAGTCTATCTCGTTATACGTAATGGAAGGATGTCAAGGCAGTGTGTACTGCTCAAGCAAGAACCTAGAAAAAGTTGCTAGAAGTTCCATTTTTCCAAGTTACTCTAGCTCAGTGGTTCTTAACCTGTAGGTCGTGACACCTTTGTGGGTTGAATGACCCTTTCATAAGGGTCATATGTCAGATATGTTACAATCAGGTATTTATATTACTATTACAGTTATGTAGTAGCAACAAAATAATTTTGTGGTTGGGATCAACATAACCTGGGGAACTGTATTAAGGGACACAGCACTAGGAAAGTTGAGAACAACTGCTTTAGTTTGTGTCCAGTTGATAAAAGTAACCAGCCAACAGGCATTAAGATTGCTAGTCTCCCTGGTTGGTAAATATGCATTTTCTTCTACATATTGCTAATATAGTTGTTTAGATCAGGTAAAACATGCTTGAGGCAAAAAATACTCTTTAGAAAAATCAAGTGTTAGGAAAGGAGCAGGTATTGTCTGCCCACTTCTTGAATGAATGCATTAACTACTATTGTAACTGGAGAGACAGAAGCAGCAGATCTCTGTGAGTTTGAGACCAGCCTAGTCACAAAGCAAAAAATGTGTTATAAAACTTAGAGTTTGGGTTATAACATAATACATGTCTATTCTTTTAGGTGGAGTACTTGCTAGCCATACTCCCAACCCACTGTCTATTCTGCAGTAGAATAAATTTCTGAGACACCCGAGAAAAGAAACGTAAGAGTGTGACAACTCTTGACCTCTGTGAAAAATGTGTTATAAAACTTAGAGTTTGGGTTATAACATAATACATGTCTATTCTTTTAGGTGGAGTACTTGCTAGCCATACTCCCAACCCACTGTCTATTCTGCAGTAGAATAAATTTCTGAGACACCCGAGAAAAGAAACGTAAGAGTGTGACAACTCTTGACCTCTGTGAGAGGAGACACTTCTCCATGGGTTGCATCACATGCAGTTTTTGGAAAACAAAATAGACACGAGCATGATGGTGTATTTCCGAAATCCCACCCCATAATCCCAGCACTCAAAAAGTGAGGCAGAAGGATTGCCCTGAGTTCAAAACCTGCCTGAGTATCCAGGGCCAGCCTGGGATGGGCTACAGAGTGTGGTCCTGTGAGGGGGTAGGGGGAGTCAGAAACTTGTGCTGTACATAGGACACACTGAAGGAGACATCAGAGAGATCCCTGGTGGACACTACCTAGAAATGTGCTCTCCTGATCCTCTGCCCATGTCATGGAGAGGAGCTTTGTGTTTGTCTTACTAAGGAGAGATTTTTTTTAATTAGGTGACAAGTAAAGTTCATGAATAAAAGGTAAAATGGAATGTCCATCCTGTTGACTGGCAAGATGCCATAGTGAGTCTGTAGAGCAGAATGTAAATGGATGGTTGAAAGCACATTTGTATGAACAGTGTACGGTGGCAGCACAAAGCGTAGTCCAAGAATTATAACTGGAACAACATACTCCACCATGTCTACACATAAGATAGATATCTAGGTACCAGCTTACTGTGTAAGATGCTTTCTAAGGGATATTTCCCTATACAAAGTCACAGTTTTAAAATTTTTCTGGGGACTGGAGAGGTGGCTCAGGGATGAAGAGTACTTGCTGCTCTTCCAGAGGACCTGAGTTTGGTTCCCAGCACCCACATCTGGTCACTTGAGTTACAACCACTTGTAATTCCTGCTCTAGGAACTCTGGCACCCCCTTCAGGCTTCTGTGTACACTAGCACACGTGCAATATACACACAGAAACACAGATTCACAATTTAAAAAAAAGTCTTTAGAAGAAGAAAGGAGACAAACTCCTGGAAGCCTGCACTCATTTGCTAATAGCACGTGTTTTGTGTTTGCTTGAGGCTGCTTAGACTGCATTATTTAATCTGAATATCCATTCATGTCCAGTGGAAACAGCAATATTCAGTGGTTGTGGGGTGCTGTCCATACTTCCCAGTTCTGCATGATAAAGGTCACCTGGCTTTAGTGACATGTAGGTGGTTTATATGTCCTCAGAATAGCATGGTTTTGTCTTTGTTCTGAGGGCATGAGTTAGAAATTATGCTTAGATTTTTTTTATTTTAAGAAAAGTCAATCATTTTCATCATGAGATTTACTGAAGTGATCCAAATAAATGCTGAATGGTGGGACTGCGGCATACATTTAGATTTCAGAGGCTAATGTGGTTTTCAATGGAAGGAAATGTGCTGCTTGCTTATGAAGTAAGCATGCTTGTTTCTTCCCATTGAAAACCTTGAAATAACTAACCTTAGCTTGAAACATTGACTAATCGCAATAACACCCCTGCTTCCTCGGTGGGAGTTCCAGCCCCTTTCACTGCTAATCTCTGTGCTAAATGACAGAATCCCAGGCCTCCTCCCTCTCAGTTACCCCTTGGGAAATCTTATTTTTAATAGCACCTTCCTTTCTTGGCTTGCATGACATTTTTCTTTCTTTTCCTTTCTTTTTGCCGTTTGCAAAGACTCTTGGGAGGATTTGACAGATTTGGTGGAGCAAGTGCGTGATGATACAGAAGGTGCGTGCCACACCAGCATCTCTCAGCTTTTCGTTTCTGTTTCCTTTTCCTTTACCCTTTCTTTCTTTCTTCTTAATGTTCTAACCACCTCTTAATGTCTTCCATAAGGAGTGTCAGAGTTGGGCTTTATGTACTATGGTAATAGCTGAGATGTCCCTGTGCTTGCTGGCAAGTAGTACAGCATTCTGTTTTTACAGTGCTTCTTGGGATATTTGTCAAAACATTTAAAAGGGGCATTATTTTTTTAAGATAAAAGGGATAATATTGTAAGGTTACATTAAACTTTCCTATGACTTATTTTTAAATTAGCTTTTATACTTGTGAATTTCACAGCAGTCAAAATTAACATCAATTCTGAAAAGTATTAAAAGTCTGGCCTACTTTTCAGAGTACCAGATCTTGGGTATCCTTGTTTCAGTGGTCTGCATCAAGATGCTACAAATGTTACTTCACTGCCTCTTGGATCTCTTTAGTTTTTTTTCCCAGTGTTAACTCTATTGAGATGTAATTCTCAAACCAGGTGAAGACTACCATTTTACAGTATACAAAGTGACTGTTTGTGTATTCACAGTGTTGTTTGCTTCCGTCACCACCATCCTGGTCCATAATGTTTCATCTCCCAAAAAAGGAACCCGTGCACCCATTGTCATCCATCTCCTATTTCTTCTGTCCCCCGTCCATGCCAATCCCCAGTCTCCTTTTTGTCTTTGAGGATTGCCTATTGTGGACATTCCATATAAACACTATCATGAAATACTTGTCTTGGTTTATGGCTTCTCTCACTTGGCATATTTTCAGGGTTCATCAATGTAGCAAGAGAACATTCTGTCGTATGGATGCACATTTTGTCTCACCATTATGTTGGTAGACATTTGACATGTTTGGAGCTAATTGTAAGGACTGTTTGTGTGAAAACACACAGTGGGTCCATAATGTTTCATACCGAGAAAATATCTTGAAGGAGAATTCTAGATAAGATGGTAATTCAACAACTTTTATTTTTTAGTTTATGTACATGGGTGTTTTACCTAGATATATGTCTTTATACTGGAGGTGTACCTGGCACACACGGGATCAGAAAAGGCATTGTGAGACAGTTGTAAGCCGCCATATGAGTGCTAGGACTCTAACACAGGTCCTCTGGAAGAGCAGTCAGGGCTCTTAACCAATGAGCCATGTCTCCAGCCCAGACCCTGATACTTGAGGAATGTCAGACTTGGCTAAAGCACTTGCACCATTTTACATGCTGCTGGCAGCACACAAGGTTGTAGCTTCTTTAGATCCTTAGTTAGTACTAGCTAGTCTCCATTTTTTAATGTCTTATTAGTTTATATGTGTGTTTGTATGTCTATATGTGCACCGTGTGTGCATGTGTGCTCAAGGAAACCAGAAGAGGGCATCAGAGCTCCTGGAACTGGAGTTACAAATGGTTATGAGCTGTTAAATGGGTACTAATACCTAAGCTGTCTATGCAACCCTCTTTCTTCCTTCTTTTTTGTTTTGTTATTTGTTTGTTTTTTAAAGATTTATTTATTATGTATATAGTGTCATGTCTGCATGTTTGCCTGCACACCAGAAAAAGGCATCAGATCTTGTTATAGATGATAGTTGTGAGCGCCACCATGTGGTTGCTGGGAACTGAACTCAGGACCTTTGGAAGAGCAGGGAGTGCTCTTAACCTCTGAGCCATCTCTCCAGCCCCTTGTTTTTTATTTTTAAGACAGGGTTTTACTGTAATTTTTTTGGTTGGCCTGAAACTCTATGTGTAAGCCAGGCTGCCCTTGAATCTGGAGAGATCTAACTGCCTCTGTCTCCTGAGTGCTGGAATAAAGGTGTGCGTCTTTTTACTTTGATTGTATTTTTGAAGCACAAATGTTTTTTAATTATGTTGAAATACAGCTCTTCACATATATCTAAGAAAACATTGCCTATACTAACTTTACAAAAATTTGGATCTATGTTTTCTATGATGAGTTTTATAGTTATAGCTCTTGAATTTTGGTCTCTGGTCCTTTGTAGTTAAATTTTTTGGTTTTTGTCGTTGTTGGTTTGTTTGTTTTGGTTTTTGTTTGTTTGTTGTTGGTTTTTTGTTTTGTTTTGTTTTGTTTTGCTTTGCTTTTCAACATGGTTTCTCTGTGGCTTTGGAGTCTGTCCTGGAACTAGCTCTTGTAGACCAGGCTAGTCTCGAATTCATAGAGATCCGCCTGCCTCTACCTCCCCAGAGCTGAGATTAAAGGCGTGTGCCATCACCGCCTGGCTTGTAATTAAATTCTTAAGGGTGTGTGTGTGTGTGTGTGTGTGTGTGTGTGTGTGTGTGTGTGTGTGTGTGTTACTGTGTCTGTGAGTGTCTGTGTGTATGTGTCTGTGTGGTGTGTACACACATGAGTGCCCATGCCTACTGACCCCAGAGGTATCAGATTCCCTGGAGCTGGAGTTGTAGGTGGCTGTGGAGTGCTTCTGTGGATGCTGGGAATCAAACTTGGGTCCTCTGCAAGAGTGCTATGCACTCTTAACCACTGAGACGTCTCTCCTGCCCATTTCTTTTTCAGGATTATTTTGACTCCTCTCCGTCTTCTGCATTCCTATGGATATTTTAGGATAAATGTGCCAATTTCTGTAAATAAGACAGCTAGGATTTTGATAGGGATTGCTTTGAATCTGTACTAACTCAAGAAGTATTGCCATCTTAGCATAATTAAGTCTTGAAATCCATTGACACTGGACTTCTGTTTATTTTGATGCTTTAAATGTTTATTTCCACATTTTGTTTTCAGTGCACAAAATTTGCACATCTCTTGTCAATTTATTTGTAAGTATTTTCTTTTTGGTACCTAATTTGGTCCTGTCTCATCTACAAGTTGATTCTTGAAACTGCAGTAGTACTAAAGGCTATGTACACTTTGTTTTTCTATACTTCTCAAGGAAAACATTCAGTTTGCTGTTAGGCAGGATGAGAGATTAACATTAGCTAATAAGAGATATCAATTACAACAATATAGTTTAGTAAGGCTGATTGGACATGACCTCAGGTACTTTGATACATCTTTTCCTTCATTATAAATGGCCATTAATAAATAATAATCACTGTGGTACTATAACTAAGGCAGCTTCTGAGTGACTGACAGGCATATAGCTTATATGAGAGATATTCAGACAAAGGGATGATTCATTTTCCATTGTGGAAATGAAAGGAATACATTTCCATTACATTGCATAGAAAAGCATGCAATTTAAATCTTATTAGTCATTTATTTCTGGAATTTTCCATTTAATATTTTTAGATCACTGTGACTTGCAGAAAGCAATCCGCCAGAGAAGAGACTGCTGTACAATTAAGTCTTGTATTGATCTTGTGTCCTGCAGCCTTGCCAAGTGCACTTACTAGCTAATACTTTCTGTTTGTTTGTGGGTTCTTTAAACCTGTAATATCATATTCTCTGAAAATATGATTCTACCACTTTCTTCTAATTTAGTTTTTGGTTTTCCTAATTGCCCTGACCAAACTCTCCACATCATTGTTTAGAAACAGTGCAAGTGACCATGTGTGTCCTGTTGCTGACCTCTAGTGAAGTCATCTACCCTTGGATATTGTATTAGGCAGGAGTTTTTCCTAGTTACATTTTACCAGCTTAAAAAATTCCCTTCTGTCGGGAGGTGGTGACCCACGCCTTTAATCCCAGCACTCAGGAGGCAGAGGCAGGCGGATCTCTGAGTTTGAGACCAGCCTGGTCTACAAGAGCTAGTTCCAGGACAGTCTTCAAAGCCACAGAGAAAAAGAAATCCCCTTCTTAGCTGGCCACTGGGGGCACATGCCTTTAATCCCAGCACTGGAGAAGCAGAAGAGACAGGCGGATCTCTGTGAGTCTACAAAGCAAGTTCCGTGACAGCCAGAGCTGTTATACAGTGAAACTCTGTATTGAAAAACCAAAAATAAAGAAGAAATTCCTTTCTTTTCCCAATTTGTTACATATAAGTGTTTTGTTTTGTTTTTGATATGTCAGCCGTTTTGTCTGCATTTATTGAAATCACAGTCTTTGCTCCCTTGGTGCATTGCATTTCTTGACTTATATATGTTGAACAAACCACAAACCTTGCATTCTGGCGTCAGTCCTACTTGGTTGTGTTAATGATCTCATATGTTGTTGCCAGTGTTTGTTGAGGCTTTTTGCATCTGCATTCGTAAGAAATACTACAGTGCAGGTCTCTCTTTTTCTGTCCCTAGGAAATACTGGTATGGTAGAAAAACTTGGGAGCTCCATCTTCTATTTGAATAGTTTGAGAAAGATTGATACTAATTCTAAATGGTTGACTAACATCAACAGTGAGGTCATTTGTCTCTGGTCTTCTCTTGTGGGGTTTAGTTTTTGCTTTATTACTAATTCAGTATCTTTGCTTGTTACATCTTTACTTGTGTTTTCTGTTTTTTGTTTGTTTTGTTTTTCTATGTATTTATTTATTTTTGGTTTTTTAAGACAGGGTTTCTCTGTAGGTTTGGAGACTGTCCTGGAACTCTCTTTGAAGACCAGACTGGTCTCGAACTTACAGAAATTCACCTGCCTCTGTCTCCCAAGTGCACCACCACCGCCCAGCAGTGTTTACTGTTTCTTGTCAGTTTTAATTGGTTTGTATTTTTCTAGGAAATCACACACATATGTTTTTCCTTTACAATTTAGTACTTGGGAGGCACAGGCAGGCAGATCTCTGTGACTTCAAGACCAGTCTGGTCTACAGAGTGAATTCTAGGACAGCCAAGGACACAGAGAAACCCTTTCGCAAAAAACAATTTAAAAATTCTTTTCACTTGTTTCTGTAAGGTCAGTGAGCCCAGTATCTCGTTTTTCCTTTCTTGGGTTTCAGTCATTCGACTCTTGTGTTGGTCCATGGATAAATGTTCGCTAATGCTTTCTTCTTACTGTTACAGGGTAAGAAGGGATTGTTTGGGATTTCAGTATAAGAAGGGGTAAGCTCATCAGGGCAGGGAAGATGTGGTAGCCAATGTG